TGCCACCGTGTTCCTTAGCCAGAACAGGAATCCGACCAAGATGTCTTGCGGCAGATTTTTCTTCGCCGTGCTCAATCTCCAAGAAGGAGATCTTAGTAGAAAGTTGATGGCTCCATCGAGGATGTGTTTGCAACCACACTCGACAAAAAAGTCCCGGATGTGAAGGTCCATGTGATGCGTGAGTGTAGGTGCACTGGAGGTCATGGCATCCTCCAGCCTAGCGAGGAACATGCAGAGGGGGTGAGGTTCCTCTTCCTACATGATCAGTTCGGGATCTTGTAGATATAGTTAGCCGAGTTGATCCACGATGAAGTTCAGACTACCAAAGGAGATCATTGTGCACAGTATGAAGGTGTCATGGATATCGATGTTGACGATGATTCCCATTTGAAAAACATGAATTGGATCTACGCACAAAATATCTCTTATCTGGCGTGCCAACTGTGATAGGATTTTCTGTCCGATGGGTAGATTAGTGTTTTGTGCATAAGGAATCATAAGGGTAGCACACGGGACACAGACTTATACTGATTGAGATTGTCATACCCGGTTTTAAGGACAAACACGAATGCACATGACATGTATGGCATAATTAGTTTATTCATACATGCGACGCCAATTACAGTGATACATAACAGTGTTTATCACATAAATGAGAACGTTATTACAAGAACATTACACAGAGTTCCAGCAATTTAGGGTTTCTATCTCCACAAGTGCTTGACCAAGGGTACACCAACCTAGCCTCAACATTGTCTTCAGCAAACATCATCTTCTTGTCTGAACAACTATGTGGGGGTAGCAAGAGGGACAAGGAGAAGGATGAGTACATCGAAATATATTCCTCAAGTGTAGGAAAGTATGACATGAGGCCAAAACAAGGAAAGGATGACGACTTACTTTGGTTTACTCAAGCTCCTAAGCTACTCATCCTATATACTTAAACCTTAAGCACCTATTTAACTAGATGTGATCACCTCCAACACCTTTAGATGTGAGAGAGGGAGAGAGTGAGGGAGATTAAGAGAGGCAAGAGTGAGGATAGGTGTTCACCTCATGCCTCGAGAGATGTGCGTCGTGTGCCTAGCCGTGCGGGTCTCGGGGGTGCCGAGGACGTGAGATGGGGACGTGTGCCAAGCCATGCCACGCGGGACCATGTTGCTCGGGGCCACACCAGGAATCATCGGGGTGCTGCCAGAGTCATAGGCATGAAGGGAGGGAGGATGGAGGGGAGAGAGAAAGAGTGGGAGATTAGAGTGAATGTAAACACATGGAGGATTGAGATGAGGCTCTAGGGTCAAGGATCCGTGTGCCCTGTGCATGGCTATTTGTGAGGCGATACATGGGCGCGTGGGCCCACCTGTCATCTACCCTGAGAAATCACAAGCGACGCACATGGTGGGAGAGGGCATGAACGCGTGGTCATGTGGACGCACATAGTGCCTGGGGTCCCAGTGGTTTTCACCCTCATCCCTCTCCCTAACAGCTGTTGAAAATCATTTTCACCACCAGTTTTATTTTGACATGGAGGTGATATATTATCACCAACAGTTTGAACAAAACCATTGGTGAAATGCCGTTGAAAAAAACTATTTCAGCAGTGATGTGACTGTTCAAAACAAATAATTGAAACTATCCAAAACATTGGTTGCATATTGGGAATAAATATAAACATTAGAATAGAGGATGAAGTACCAGGAAATGATGTTTAATGAAAAAAACCAATAGTATAAAGAAGTACACAACCAAGCATATTACTCCATCACACCATTCCAAATTAACTCAAGTTAAGGTTTATCCTATTTCAAACCATTGACTAGCTTTGACTAAATTTATAGAGAAGAGCATCAACATTTATTATACTAAATTTGTATAATATATAAAAGTATAAATATCAAAAATTTATTTGGTATTATAAACATTAGAAGTCTAGTTATTTTGGGGCATGGTGCAGGAGTGAGTATCATAATAGAGGCATAGAGCCACACAATCCTCTGCTCTCGCAAGAATATGGGACTTGCTAAAATTCAGATGCCTGGATTTTAGTTTCCTTTCATGCGATGGTTATTGCATATATTTTACGTTAATGCTAGCAATCAGATGTCCATCCGCGCCGGATGATTATAAAAAACTCACGGAACCACGACTACACTCCGTGGCTCCGCTGCGTCTCCCGCACGCCTTACTCTCCACTACGCCTCCCCGCCGGCATTCATCTCCACTGTTACCACGCCCGCACCGCCGCGGTGTGCTCCTCCATGACGCACAGCCGCTGCCGCCTCGCCGCGCGAGGCCGTACCCACCCGACTGTTGCTGTCGCCTCCACCACGGGCACCGCTCATCGGGGGCACCGCGTGCACCCTATCGCTGGGGCTGCACAACCGTTCGCCCGCTGCCATCCTCCTCTACCGTAACCGCACAGTCGGATCCCACTGTGCAGTGCTCCACCCGCCTGGCTGCCAGGTTTTGCTGAAAGCGCATGTTGCAAGCGTATGTTTCAGTGTTTTAGATGTTTCAGAGGTATGTTTCAAGTGTTTTAGATGATATTGCAAAAGTAGATCGGGATCTTGCATATATTCCAATGGTTGTATAGGTATGTTGCAAAGACCTATTACCAATGTTTCATCTGTGTTTTCCGGACGTATTTTGCAAGTGTGCTTATCTGGATGTTGCATATATTTCACACATATGTTGCATGTGTTTTATCTGCATGTTGCGTAAGTTTGCAATGATTTTCAAGTGTTTTCAGGTGTTTTTTAAGTGTTTTAGAAGCATGTTTCAAGTGTTTCATCAGTCTTCAGACATATGTTGTAAGTGTTGTATTTGGATATTTCAAAAGTGGATCGAGTGTTGTATCTCTCCTTCTCGCTTTCTGCTGCATCGCCTCGGTGCCTCCTCCTCCTGGCGCCAGTTGGGCATCCACTGCCCCTCTCTTCTCGATGCCGGTGGTGTTCGAGGCGGTCTTGAGCTCAGCGTAAGCGCAAAAGCAGCCTGACAGAAATGGATTATGGGCGCAGCGTCGGGCACCTCATATGCTGGAGGTGCAGGCGCTAGCAAGCCCATATATTTTATACTAAAGTTACATATTTCGTTCATTGCAATTTCTATTGGCGTAATCCGTAACTTTTGGTATTGAGAATAAAAAACCCGTTAGACAAAACTATAAACCCGATAAAATATTATTTGTGTTGGCACAAAGATAATCAACAATTTACAATTATTTCCATATGTAGACAAGGACAAAAATTTAATATGTTATGACACAGAAAAATAGCAAATCATAAAAGTAGCAATTTACTTTTACTAGTTGGTAGTACAAGAGTGTTATCTGAAATCAACTTAAAATTCAGTCACCTTAAATATTTGACCGAATAGTCACCTTAAATATAGGAGAAGTGCAAGAATATATGTTACTCATGCCGTTGTGCAAAGTCGGTACCGAGAGGAAAAGGCCATGCTTATGCAAAACTACGCATTGCACAACACGTATGGCCGGACTTCATAGCTGCTGTGCCTTTTGCGTTCATACCTGGTTCTACGTTGCAAAAGGGCCACAATTGATTCATTCAAGCAGGCGAGAGATTTGCCAGCCCAGCTCTACCTCAGCTCAGTGCATAAGTGGAAGAAGAAAGTCAGTTTTACCTCCCTGACTTTGAAGTCTAGTTTTTCTCCCTAAACTCTAAAATCAGGTAAACCATATCCTTCAACTTTTGAAACCGTTCATTTTACCTCCCTAACCTGTTTATAGGTGGTTTTCAAATGCGGTTTTGTCTTTTAGTTTAAAAATAAATCTAGTAAATACCTAATGAGGTTTTTAAACCACAGAAAATATCTCTAAGCCTCTAAAAATTCTGAGAAAAATACTAAATATGGATTAGGACACGAGAAACCCAAATAATATATTTATATCTTGTGAAAGTATCTCTAGAATCTTTTAAAATTTTGATTTAGCTCTAGGAAAATCAGAAAAATATCCAAAAAATATGCAAAACTACCAAATATTCTAATTGATATCTAATTGCATCTTAAATGTTTTTCACATTAAAAACATGAGATGAAGCCGGCATGAATGCATTCAACATTAATATATGTTGGTTGCATATCATATTTATATTGTGGAAAGTTCCTAAAATGTGTTTAGACATGAATTAGAACATTTTGGTAGTTTTCTAGATTTTTTGCATATTTTCCCATTTTCCTAGAGCTAATTCAAAATTTTAAATATTCTAGAGATATTTCACAAGATATAAATATATTATTTGGGTTTCTCATGTCCTAATCCATCTTTAATATTTTTTCTCAAAATTTTTAGAAGCTTAGAGATATTTTTCGTGGTATAAAAACCTCATTAGGTATTTACTAGATTTATTTTTAAACTCAAAAGACAAAACCGCCATTGAAAATAACATATAACCGGGTTAGGAAGGTAAAATGAACGGTTTCAAAAGTTGATGGAGGTGGTTTACCCGGTTTTGGAGTTCATGGAGGAAAACTAGACTTTGATGATAGTTCAGGAGGTAAAATAGATTTTTTTCCTAAGCAGAAGGAGGACAAGGATTATTGAAGGCCCACGGCACCTAGATTAGTAAACTTGGGCTCGGCCCTCTTAGTCAGCCCATCTGCGCTAACCTCGGCGCAGCCCAGGCATTCTGCCTTCACTCGAAGTCGTCCTCGAGGTCGTGGGTTGGTGTGCTGGTGGGGGCGAACTAACGCACAGCCTCGCTGTCGACAGCCTTCCATGTTTTTTTTTCTTTTTTCTTCCCCCAGCCCGGGGAATCCAGACTCGACAGCTCCAGGTTGGCCATCGCCCACCCATCGTCGCCAGCACGGAGGGGGCAAGTCACTGGGCGGCGTGGTGGCGAACCGGCCACGACGCGTCGCGGGCTGCACGAAAGGGCCAGTTGCATGACTTGATCCTCTTCTTGGGCGGTGCGGCGTCCTGTGCTGTGCCGTGCTGCGTCCTCCGCGTGTGAAAGACTCAACCGGCATCCCCGATCCACATGGCCTACCGCCGGAAGCAGGGCGCCGCCGCCGACGATCGCCGGAGCTCCTATCCCCAGGCACGCACTCCTGTCCCTCCTCCTCTTCCTCTGCCTCCTGTTCTGCTGTGCCCCGCTGGCTTGGTTGCTTGTAGTTGTGTCCTACCGTGCCGTTTCTTGGTTGCCGGTCGAAATCTCTGATCGAGCTCTGTTTTTCCATCTCAAGCTGTCATGGTTACACGAACAGAATTATAGGGTCAGAAGAAACCAAAATTGCTTCGCCAATTGATTGCGGATTGCTTGCTTGGTTCCTCCCAAAGCCCTCATTAGATAGATGTTGTACCAAATCACGACGCGTATATATACCTTGTCATCGGCGATCTGATATGCGCTAGATGGCTTGGCAAGAACTAGCTAGCTCCAGAGCAGCAAAGTCCACAACACCCTGATCTGAATGATATGCTTTGGTTGGTTTGCCTGTGCAGGACTCTGCTTCGTCGCACGGCTACACATCGTTGAAAAACATAGATGAGCCCAAGATCGGGTTGTGGCAAACTTTGGCGAGCAAAGCCAAGGGAATCCTCGACGACGACGGTCTGACACATAAGTTTGAGGACTTGAGGAGAGAACGGCCTCGTAGCAACACTGCTGCATCCAGCAAAGATCAGGTGAGGCAGAAAGTGTAACTGAATATCTATCTCCACATGCTGACAGTCACAAGTGAACTTCTCGCGTATGTCATTTCGGTTTACAGCCCTTGCAACTCTTTGTTGTTGTAATTTTAGGCCCCTAACTCTCGTTGGTCATTTGAGAACCACTGGAAGGCCGGAGATGCTGCATCACGGATCAGACCAGAGGCTCTTTCTGCTTCTGTCAACCAGCTTAGTGGAAAAATAAAAAATGCTTTGGAAGTAAGTAATGTGCTCTTACTTAACTCTGTACATCTCTTTTGTTTTCTGCTTCAGTCACATAGGTGGCATAAACCTCTGGAGCCATTTTGTAAACTGATCACTTGTTCCTTTGTTTAACAGGAAGGGCTCACAATTGTGGATAATAAGACTTCCAGCATTATTGAGGAAACAAAGAAAATTCAAATTAGAAGGAAACCTGCCAGTTCAAGTTCTTATGTGCCGAATTCAGCTGTAGATACACATACACTCAGCACTCCTAATCTTTCACTTCGTCAACCTGAATCCGCTGCCCAGGAGACTGGACTGAAAGCTTCTCGCGACGTAAGGTGCCACATGCTTATATCTTGATGACAAATATACATGTTATTTTACATCTTCTATGCAGAAAACCAGATTTTTCTTTTACATACATGGGAAAACCCTCACCATTTAGTGGTCCTTATATTTGCATATCAACATCAAAATCTATGTTTTCTAGCGACCAGTCTTATGAAATGGGGGACATCATTAGTTTTCGTTACAAATACATGAAAGCGTGCATATATTTGTATTTTCTGCTCAGAGAGATTTCTGGTTCCTTTGTCCATCTACTGAGTTGTAAGTTCTTGATGATGAGACTTATGGATGTTAGTGCGGTCGAGACTCGAGAATTGACAGGGATACCTTCTAATGTTGCCTAATGTTTTCTTATGATTCGTAGCATTATCAAAACACTGCATTGTGGCCATCTGATGAGCATAGTAAGCTCTTTTCTCTTCTTACACTGAATTAGCATAACTTTTCTTTCCCTAAAAACATAAAACTATGGTGAGAATAAGCAATCTGTCCTTGCTATCATTATATGAATTCTTCAGATAAGTAAATGAATGATTCTTCTGTAGTATCGTATCTACCAGGACTGATCCCTTTCTCTTCACCCCTATAAATTGTTTCAGGTTGCTAATGCAATGGCGGCTAAAGCAAAACTTCTACTCCGTGAACTGAAATCTGTGAAAGCAGATCTAGCTTTTGCAAAGCAGAGATGTGCTCAGCTCGAAGAAGAGAACAAGCTCTTGCGAGAAACAAAGCAGAAAGGGAGCAAAACTGAAGAAGATGATGACTTGGTATATTTTTTTTTCTGATCAATCCTATCTGTTATCATGTTGAATGTTTCTTGGTGAATTACATACATCTTGATTTTCAATTCATCAAGAACAGGTGATAGTTCGCCACCGAACTGATAAGAGAATATTACTACATGGGAATCTTGAAATTAAATTATATAAGTTGTTATTAATGTTCATTCCATTTTTGAACACTTGAATGAAAGGGTCGAATTTAAAGTACTGTCCCCCTTCTGAAAATTCAGCATTACATAAATTTAGATTCGTATGAAACAATATTATATGGTCTTGAGAAGTTTGAGTCCAGTATCTCGTTTCATATTAACTTTGAAAACTGTTGGTACTGTCACTTGTTGTTTGACAACATCTAAAGAGTATCACTGCATCCTCTGAAATGTGGTATATAAAACATATATGGTCTTGTACTTGTGAACCAGTGAGTGCAACCTTTTTTCTCCACATCTACTGAATAGTCCCTCTGAACTACCCATTGCTGAATCAGATTCGTGTGCAACTGGAGACATTGCTGGCAGAGAAATCAAGGCTGGCACAGGAAAATTCAACATATGCCCGTGAAAACCGCTTCTTGCGTGAGATAGTAGATTTTCATCAATTCACAACACAAAATGTTGTCTCATTGGATGATGGCGATATGGAAGACAGTGAACCAGAAGAAGACAACGACATCATATGTGCTCAAAACGTGTTGCCCGTGATTGAAGAAAATTCAGTAGATGAAGAACACTCCCCTGTCCCCTCCAGGCCAGAATCTCCAATGGTCATTCCAGGAGAGCCATCATCACCCAAATCCAGCAATTCTCATAAAGCCTCAAAGCCAGATGCTGATGCATCTGATGTAGCATGATGCATGCGACTTTGGTGACTTGGCCATCTTGTTTGGGATTTCAGCTGTCTTTGGTTGTGAGTTGCGTGCGTGTGCATAAAATTTTGTCCATTCTTTGTCCACACTGGTTTGTAGTTGGAAGTTGTAACATATTTACAGGTTTCTGCCTTTGTATAGAGCGCATATAGTTTGTTTTTTTCTCCATGGGGTGTTCTATGGAAAACTAACTCAATGTGGTCCGTGGGAGTTTATTGTGCATATGGTTTGGTTCGCATGTAATTACCTGTGAATTTGACTGTTATAGGCCAAGTGAAAGAACATATTGAAGAGTGCGGTTGTTACTTGCATTGCATGTATCTTTTATTTCTGGTGTGCCGATACCTTCCTCTCATATAGATGAGTGTACATCTTCCGTGGTGTCTGTGTGCTGTCACCTGTTAGTCTCCGTGGTGTCTGTGTTGTCACCTGTTAGTCACCCATGCTGGTAATTTCAGCCCAACCTTTATGATGCTGATCAATAACACACATACACAACCCCCAAATTCAGATCAGTGGATCCAGTGGTGGAGACGCCGTCAAAGATGGTCAGTGGTAGGCGGGGTAGGGGGAGCAAGGTCAAGTCTTGCACAACCATATCCCTCATGTGGGGAGATATGATGTGCAGGGAGAGGAAGAACGAAGGGTTGTTGTCGAATCAAGATCTGGCACTCTAAAAATCATGGATTAAATATTTCCTTTTTTTGATGCATCTACAATATAGTTTTATACTTATTTGAATTGTTTTGACTATTAATTTAAACACTTTAAAATCCTAAAATTGCTTTGCAACAGTGGTCGAACAAAGTTAATTATGTGGTTAGTAGTTTCATCACCAAAAGCTCTGGCCCATGCATGAAGGACGAGGTCGATGTCGAAGTAGCCAATGCATAAACGAAGAGGTCGATGTCGAAGGATCTAGTTACACTCCCCTAGATCTTTTGGTAGTGACGATTTCTTTATAAGAGAAACATGGCCATAGTCATCTCATCATGTGCAAGATGCTGTCAGTTCACAGTAATCTTTGCTTGTTAACCATAACCTTTATTAGCACAAATGATGAAAATAGCCAGAGTGCGCTACTAAGCGGCCAATGGGTGTGGCTGATAGTAGTTGTAAGAGGAGTTGAAATCATCGAGATCGAGTGCTTAAGTTGGGCCATGGTGATTAGCGAGGGAATGATAGAGTTGCAATGCAATCATCAACCAAGCCATTGTTAGTTGCAGACACGGCTAGAAAAGATTAGGAAGGTAGATGACGCTTGAGGTAGTGATGCACCGAGTGACATGAAGACTCTTTTTGCTATATATATTTTGGTACCCACTCACCCAACGACATGAATACTTTAGTTCAAATAAAGACGAACAAAAAAAGGAAATATATAATAGGATTTGGCAAACATACACAAAGTTCGAGATTTGGCGCAGCGATTGGTACTACTATGGCAACCCTTCACTTGTATTCCGTGTTTCATAATCATCTTCTGGCACTACGACTACCACAACACCCTTTCTCGTCTCAGTTCGCGGTACGGAGTATCAAACTTCGGGGTCACAGGTGATTATCATTTCAACTTGATCATCATCGACTTCTCTTTCTTGACTCCTAATTCCACGGGTGAATTCTAGACTGAATTTCAAATTCTTGTCATCCTCTTCTTGGCTATCACAGGTTGCGATTATTGTCAAGTCCACCTCTATGCGGACTTTGATCTGCCGAGAAATCACAGTCGGTGGTGCTTGCCTTGATCTTACCATACACGGCGTAGCTTCTAGAACCGAGCTCTTTGAGCTTCAACCTGACCTCAACATTTTGGTCTCAATAGCATGTTGGGAATGACTAAGTATGTGATCTCCAACTTGCGACCAGGGCCTGCACAGATGGTCTGTGTGTATTCCTCAGGTTTATCGTCGTCATGGTCATCAGCAACATCCCACCCCTCTTCATTGGTGATGGCATGCAGTTCTCGGACGTCCCTGATTGCCTACCAATCTGGGCGAAGGCAGACACATGTCAGCAGACCGTGTCGAATACGTTCCAATGATGCAAAGTTATAGAGGATGATGCCGAGGTCGGCCATCCACGGTGTACCGAGGACGATGTCGATGTCGACGCCAAGGTCCACCAGGAAGGTGTCAATCTTGAACGTCTTCATGTCGATGTGGAGGGGCACGTTGAAGCAAGTTCCTCGGCAGGCAATCTTATTGCTACTACCGATGAGTTGTGGTGCTCCATGAGACCAACTAGGCAGGTGAAGTTGTTGTCGATGATGTTGTGAATGGCGCCGGTGTCGATGAGGATGCGCACACCATGTTCTAGGACAGCGCCTGTAAAGAACATGGTGCGGCACCCATGCACACTAGAGTTCTGGGCGTCCATGAGCATCATGAGGTCTAGCTAGACCTCCTCCATGTTGTAGCCGTTGATGAGGGTGAGTCGAAGAAGTGCTTGCACTTGTGGCCATAGGTGAACTAGTTATCACAGTTAAAGCAGAGACCCATGCGATGACATTTCGCCATCTCCTCAACGATGAGGCGCTTGGAAGCACGAGTCAGTGTAGTAGATGGTGTCGCTGTTGCCGATGCTAGTGCGCGAGATGCAGTCGATGCTGAGGATGCCATTTTTGGAGGTAGTGGAGGACGGGCTGCAGTACTTGCCGGTGTTGTCAATGAGGATGGAGTTTCATCGCTTATATGCCCTCGCCAGCGACATAGCCTTCTCTATGTCCCAAGGGTTCTGGAGCTAGCTCCATGTCTATCTTAAGTGGTTCTAGTAGGCCTACCGTGTAGATGTTGACTTGCTGCAGCTCGTCGAGGCAGGACCCGTCTTGCACAAGGATGCCAGCTTGCTTAGCGGGTTGCACCAAGTCAGAGGGCCAAAGCACTCATTAACGCAACGAGCAAAGTAGCCCCAGCCGATCATCGTCTTGTCCTGGTCTAGGCGCATGTACCACCACTGTGCTCCACTTGTCAAATGAAATGAGGCATACTAGACTTTCTCATTGTTGGGGGTGCACTAGCCTTTGAAGAACTGCTCGCAGCGGTTGATCCATGGAAGTAGATCCTCCTTGGTGTTGTATGTTGGAAACAACAGCTTATGGTAGTGGCATTGGGGAATCGGGAAGGATCCTGGTGCTGCAGCCAGGTAAGGAAGTGGAGGTGGCAGCAACATCTTGGGTGGTGCATGTGGCTTTGGTGGGGTAACCAACAAACTGTTCGTCACCTGTTCCACAATCTCAGGGATTGTCGAGGACTTGGAGCTCTCCATCTTCTCCATGAGGAAGGCGCATCACGCAGTCTCCATGGCGCGTTTTGTTTCCTCCTCAAGTTCCTTTGCTGCGACGTCACACTCTAGCTTTGCCTTGGCCGCAGCTGCAGCATCAATGTCCTCCTTGTTGCCAGTGGAGTGACCGTGCTCCAAGTTGCTTAGGTGTGAGTGTCAACGTTGATAAGGTGCTCATGCACCATGTCCATGTGAGCACCCTATCCCATGCGCTTGGTGAGGTCAGCGAGAAGACCTCGAGCCACACTTTCAGATCCACTAGCATGTTGTTGCTGTTGTCGCCCATGGATACCTAGTCTATGAATACCAAAGGTGATGAGCCCCGATCGATCAGGATGGGGGTGATGGCATGAGAGAGTAGGTGCAGGGGAGGAAGGAGGCGACTGCTAGGGCAATAGGGGCCGCATGTGTGGCCAGAGAGTGAGGGAGGCACAGGGAGATAGACAGATAGATAGAAAGGAACAATACTCTTTTTTTGCTTAATTATAATGCGTACATGACCCCTATATTTATAATCTCTAAGGGACTTTACCTCCAAGCTATCTATATAGGTAGAGTCCTTATAGATTTGCACTCTCATTTTTTAAATGAACTCTATTTCCTTTTATTTCTATCCATATTTAGTTCTATTGTTGAATTTTCATCTAATATGGACTCCTTCGGGTGGGAGGAGGCCGACAACTCTAGGGGAGTCGTCGGCCCCCTCTTGCGGGCGCTTGGGGCACCTTGGACCAGGCCTCGGTTGGCCAGAGCCCTCCTTTTGGCCTTGCCAGGCCCAGTAGGGGGCTAGGGATCGGCCCATAACAGATATACTACACTCCTTCCCATTTTATGTAAGTATCAGTGCAGTCAAAGTACACAAATTTTACACGCTTTCACCAACAATATACATGAAAATCTATAGCTCGGCCACTTCAAATCGGCTCCGATGAAGTTTCTATTAGAAGTGCCTATGTAATTGTATAAATTTTGACTAGCACTATCGCTTGGAATATTGCACCTTAATGTGAGTTAAATTCAAGATGATGTACTCACATTAGATAAATTGAGGCATAGCACGTGACAATGATTTGACGGAAAACCTTGTATCTAGCTGAATATAATCTCTGACTGATCAACACTGCTAGTAACTGTTGTTTTTATCTGAATTTTTAGTATTTTAGTTATCCCAAAATGAACAGACGATATGTTCAGATGAATTGACACCACCTAATAACCAGGGCAACCAAACCAAATCATGCAAAAGACCTAATAATCTTGCAAAAGACCAAATCATCCCAAAATGAACACACGATATGATCAGCATTGCATAACTTGAGGAACAAAGAGGATTTTCACCATACCATGTTAGACCACAAGAAAACTGAGAAGCTACGAGGCCCTCAACAATCTTGATAATTTCCTCCTTTGACTCCCTCAGGCAGGCCCAATAATCTTGCCTTCCCCGTGTCCTATGGTCAGGTCTTTTCTGCGAAAAAAACATGGCTAAACCCTAGCTCATCTTGTGAGATGAAACCCAGGATGGAGGAGGGCATGGGAAGAACGTTGCTGAGGTGTAGACCAAGAGAAGGTCTAAACATGGAGAAGAGAATGCCGATCGGCGGCAGCTCTCGCCGTGACCCAACTCGTTCTCTCCTCTTTACACAGTGGCTATGAATCTCAGTGGAAACTCCCGTCCAAAAGTTTCCCTTCATTATTGGTTT